AGAGATTAAACCCACTAGTTGGGCACAGCGAGTAGGCTATCCAGGAAACGAAAGTAGCAGTATCCCAACAGTTACAAACTAGTAAATAAGAACAAAGTCGTCGGCAGGTAAAAGTGCACGTGCGTGTTCTTTGTCTTATTCAAAGTTGTGTCAAAACGTATTGTAACTGATTAAAACAAAACAGACTTAAATGTCACTACAGATTGGTTCCGAGCCCACGTAAGGGCAGTTAGAAGCCTCGCATGGTGCAGGCAGACAATCAACCAGAAACGCTGCGCGGAGAGAATTGCAGCGAGACGAAATCGAAGGCAATTAGACCTGCGTGTCGAAACAGGTTGTCGGTGGTATACATACGTGCAGGCACTAGCGAGGGGCACGGCGTTGTCATAGGCACTTGTTGTAACGCCATTACAAACCGTCCTTTGTATTCAGTAAAAAACCCGACCCACTGGGTGGGGGCCAGGTTATGCGTGATAAATGTAGATCGGCTGCTTAGCTTTGTGGGCCCCTTCGTCCAAACTCGCCTCCGGTCGTCCTGACCTGACTTGCCATCGGACTCAGACTTGCGAGGAAAGTAAGAGTGAGACAGGTGCTGTGAAAGCCAGCTATCAGCATAAGCTGGCGTCAGCCGCTGCCGTGAGCCTACAACCTGGTGGGCCACTCGGTGGTCATTGTCCTTAGGGTTGGCCGAACTGGTGGAGTGGAGGGTCACCGTGAATATCTCTCCAATAAATGGCAGTGCATTTGCTGACGTGAGCGATAGGAATAACAACATTGTAGAATGATTCATATTGACCCATCTGTAAAAAACTCGGTGGGATTCGAACCCTCGACAGCAGGGGGAGGTTTTAGTACATCCGAAGCCCTAACCACTTGAGCTACCAGGCCCCGCAGGACGACGCGAGTTTAATCACATTTGGATCAATTTACCGCCCAACCGACGTCTGGAATCCATCAAATTTGACACAGCAAGTTGGCTGCCCAAGCAAGAGTTCCTAAGTAATTCACCTAGGATCCACCAAATGACTACCAGGCTCACATTATTCATAAATATTTTGGCAGATTTGGTAAAGCGTAAAGCGCATAAATGAAATTTGCATGTCGCCATGTTCAGCCCCGTTAATAATCACTCCCTCGCCTTTGGCCGTGCCAAAGTACTCGTCTGAGCTAGAAAGAACTAAGGTAAGGGACGAACAAAGACTTTTAATCTGATGTCAATTCGAACGAATCATTAGTGGTATACGAGGCCGTCAGGCAGAACTTGCGTGCAAGACGAAGATCAATGAGAGGAGAAAGGAAGACTTTTTTTCAATCATCTACTTTTCATATTGTCTGCCTGCAATCATTTGCTCAAGTGTAACGGTAAAACGTCAGGTAGTCAAATAATCCTCCCCGTACCATCTTGCATTTTCCTTCCATATACATGTGCGTAGCGTTTCGAGGTCCAGGTACCTTATCGTGCTAATCAATTCCAATAAGAAGAAGATGATGAGAAGAACCCATAATCTGAAATATGTGCAGACTGACGTTTCAGAACCTGTTAAATTTCTTTCCCCAGAGTAGTGTGGTGGTTTTTCCTGCCGGCCTGAGCCTTTCCGCCTGTCTTGCGTTGTGTCCGTGTTCTGTTCACGAAATTTGACCTTCCTGCTCGCTGCTGATCAGTCGTTGCCCGTGTGTGACCGCTCATGTGACCGTCGCGGCCGTCGACGTTGTTGCCATGCCAACATGGTTCTTGGACTGCCAGTCGAGGGACCAGTCGTTGTGGCTCCTGTGCGTTGATTTCGGCCTCGTTTACTCGTCAATGAGGCCGTTCCACTCTGGTTACGTGAACTACAGCGGTTCACACCTTCATACTTCAGAGTCACCAGAAGTAAGAACAAATGTCTTCTTGATAAGAAGAAATTAGAATAAATGGGAGAGTGTCATCAAATCCCGTCCGTTCCCCTTTGTCATAGTCCCAATTTCGAATAAGGTCTAATCACCTAAAGAATTCCAGAAAAATCAGGTAAGTCCACGACCTATAACACAAAACTTCCATTGCTGGTATTCTTAACTTAAATGGTTTGTTCTACATTGGTAGAAAAAGCGATACTAGGCATGGCCATTAATACGGGGTTACGACCTTCAACTGTCGGCCTCACATTTCACCGAGTAGAAAACTCCACAGTCAGAGGGTAGACATGTTTGTTTTGAAGGCGCCGATGGATATAAAGTGTCTGTTTTTCGAAGGCAGCAATGCACGTTTTGGCTGATAAGATTGTTAAATGACGGTGATCGATGAGTACAGATATTACAAGGTACCTGCATTTGAGAGGGCTAAAAAGGATCTGTTGAGTCAAACATGGCTTGAAACGTGGAGTCGGTGGACCTAGTTGCTCCCATGGCCTTAATAGGCCTAGAAGGGAATAATCCAAGACCCATGCCCGATGTGATGATACCGTATATAGATAACAAATGTACCATGTATTGCGAGGGTCCCACAGTAAACTCTAATGAACTCGCCATTTACACGAAATGAACCATATATGCCGGCCAAAGTTATTTAAGCGAAAATGAGTTTTTGGGTTAACTCACAGGGAACTGATAGTACGGCGCACACAACTTAAGCAGTTAACATAATGGACTATTTGCAAAAACCTGTGTAATTAAAGTTTTTGATGTGCTGATATGATCGTGCTGTTCAAGGCGTCGTTTTCAATTGCGTACATGTTCACACAGTTTAAAGGACTGATAGAATTCCGAAAAATAGCACAAAATGTCAGCATTACGAAGTGTACAACAGATGGAGGATATTTGACATTAAAGACCATCGCGTGAGTTATAAGTAAACCTGAGCGCCATTTGGCCGGTAGTCCCCGATCTGTGCAAATGAACTTTAGATATTTGCGCTTAGTTTGAACTCCACAATAGAGCTCATTCGAGTATACGCACAGCGGGAAGCAATTAAAAACCTAGAGACATTGCCGTGCAGGTCAAAGCAGACAGAGAATGTCACCGTTGGCAAATTTGTCGTCACTTAACACCACAATCAATGCTTAGTCCAGAATTTCCGAAAAACCATTTTCTATCGTTTAGAATAGAAACATTAACTTCAAGGCTTTCAGATTGCCCGATTCCTTAGACCCCGTAAAAAAACACCAAAATGAGCACTTTTTGGAGATTAAACGATGCCCATAATTCCTTGCTCCTCTAAGTTATGGAATCCTGCTATCAGTTCAGAGCCTTTCTAACCCACAAACATTTATACCACAGATGCTCCTACCGTTCTAGATAGGATGTCTCCGTAGCTGGGTTTGCTTTATGGTTGATTTGGGACTGCTTATAAGCCGTAATTACTGATCCCAAGTACCTCATCTTCGTTAAACCTCCTCCTAGGATGTGGGACAATTTCTTCTAAATGTCCATGAAATCATAAGTGACATGACTGTAGTCACTCACGACTAGCGTTTCAGCAGCTGAAAAAGACGACTTCGCCTTCCTCTGAATAAGCATTCACGCTATAGTCGCAGGTGATTTAGGAGGTTCTCGCACATCTCACCATGAAGACAACCAGTTGCCGGCGGAAACTCGTACTTTTAACAATAACAGACACGCCGAATCGCAATGGAGGAAAACATGGTCACGTGATGTCTGGCCTGTACACACGACGTGACGCAGTCCCATTCCCTGTCCTTGGGGTCTTTTCCCCGGTCATTGCATGAAGTGAATTCCTGACACCCGTCATCCATTATCGCATGGCTGGTCGGCACACAT